AAGGAGAGAAAGGGAGAGAGAGAGAGGGGTGTACAGGTTTGCGTTTTGACATTTTCTCAGTAGATAATCAGAATCTAATGGGGAATAAAAAATGGTACCTGCATGACGTCAAAACCCATGATGGCGATGTCGACCAAAAATGTTTTGCTATCTGTCTGATTTCTCTTCTTCTTCCTTCTTTCCTTCTCCAGCTGGTACCGTGGTTTGTGTGTCCCTGTGGGGAGAGAAGGCGTCAGCCCCCATGCACGCAATGCATGCCGGGTATCCGATTGCAGCGTTCATCATCCCTCTCATCTCCATCCCGTACCTGTCCCCGGACCGCCCCCCAGCGGACGCCAATGGTACTACACTGCCTCCTAGAACCGTGGAGGAAGCTCGTCGACTGTCGCAAGTCCAGTGGCCGTATTTGGGTGTTGCTGTGACTGAGTTTCTCATGTGCCTGGTCTTCGTGTATTTCCAGTACCGTAGCTTTGTCAGCCACCGCGAGAATAAGGTAGAAAGCCAAGAAAGAGCTCCGAGGTCCTTCTCTGCTTTCTTCTCTCCAGGCCGCTTTCTCGAAGGCCAGAGTCGTAAGGCTGTCTTTCTGCTGGTCTTACTCCTCTTTTACTATGCTTCGTATCAGTCAAGCCAGCATGCCTTTACCAACTACATGGTGTCCTACATGGTGGAGACGAACATGTACACTAAACCCGAAGCCAGCGTGGTGTATTCGACTTACTGGATCTGTTATGCTTCGATGCGGTGGCTGTCTATTGCCATAGCCGCTTGGGTGCCCATTCACGTGATGCTGAGCGTTGAGATCACCGTCGCTTGCGTGTGTTGCGTTGTGTTAGCTGTCTGGGGCGCTACAAACAAGGCTGTCTTCTGGGCTTTCACCGCGATTCTAGGTCTTTTTGTTTCTCCTATTTTCCCTGGCGGCACCGCTTGGGCTAATCGCTACCTGGACGCTTCTTCTATTGTCTTCGCCATTTGCCTGTTTGGTGCATCTATTGGAGGAATCATTGCTAACTATGTCACAGGGTATCTGATTGAGTTTTCTGGCCCGAGGGCTATGTTGTACTTCTTTATGGGTCTCGGTTGTGGGCTGTTGGTGGTTTTTGCTGTGATGCAGGTTTCTGTGTCTCGTCCCGTCTGTGCTGAGAAGAAGAAGGTTACGAAAGAAGAAGTGGAGATGGGCGACGTGAAATGACTAGATGGAGATGACAACTTGTCCAGTGATGAGGATCATGATGTGGGTGACACTGACACTCGACCGCTGATGTCGACTCAGAAAAACTAGACTCGTCTTTGAGAACTGAGGTACCAAATTAAAGAATTCATCGCAGCGAATTTTACGGAATCCACACTAATTCTACGAAAAATAGACGATCAATTTTTTTTCGACTTGGAAACATGCGATCCTTACTAATTTGGTGATCCATGCGCAGATTACCAAATTAGCAAGGATCGTATGTTTCCGAGTAATTGATCGTTTGCATTCCTTAAAATTCGTATAAATTACGTAAAATTTGTATGGATTCTTTGGCACTCCTGTAGAATAGTAGAATGTTGAATACTGCCAGGCAAATGGATACAGCCTGGCCAATTTGATACTGTTTTTGCAGCCAACAAAAGATTAATAAATATGAACCATAATACAGCCATCTACCTCAGTGATGTCATGAAAGGCAGTTCCCAATTCAGCAAGCTTTGTCTGATTGTCTTGGCTAGAAAATTATTCTCCAAGATCTGGAATGACTATCAATCTTGTTTAAAGTTAAAACTTTTGATCCAACACAAAAAAATCCTCTCACCTAGAGCTTTCGACCTGTCACTCTGGTCTTCCCCAGTAGACTGACCCAGTGAGGCTTGTCACGTGGCTTCTTTGAAGTGTGACGTGACTATCAATCTTGTTACCATCCCAGGGAATGCATGTAAAGTGTAACACTTTATAGCTGAACATAATAAAATATGCATTTAAGAGAAACTCTGTATTGGTAGTTTTTTTTTTTTTACATACATTGAGTGCATGGCATTCTTTGCATTATATTATTACATGTAGTTGTACATTATGTTGCCAACAAGACAAGCTAATTGGGAAGCTATGAAAACCCAATTTTTGATAAATTGAAGCCACAGTAACGTCAGAAACCAACCAGCTTCAGGTCGATTCTGTATCATTGAATAAAAGAAATAAAGAAGTAAAGAATGGAAATTTATATCTGATGAGGCAAAGACGCACACGCACACGCACATGAACACACACACACACGCACACACACACGCACAAACACACACACACACACGCACACACACACACACACACACACACACACAAACACACACACACACATACACACACACATACACACTTTTAAGCTAATGAATGTTTATACGGTATCACATACCAGAGTACACTATCCTGGCATCAGGATTTAAAAAGTGCGCGCTTCCTGACCTGACCTATGACCTCCGACCTGAAGTTTCCATGTCGCTGCACCATACAAGTAGGGAACAAACGAGCTCAACAAACCGCTCCGTTTTTTGCTGAGTAAACACGAAAGGTGCGACATCAGGTGAGCTTTGTCCGTCTTTATCTGTCAATCTGTGATCTTCTGTCAATAGCTTATGGTGCTGTCAGACTGATAGTTTCAACACAGGCCTTAGAAAGAGCTCAAATGACCTGTCTCTTGATTATTTGTCTCTTGAATCACCGGATGGGGCCGGCCGGGCGTTTCAGCCTTGCAAGTTGCAAACAAAATTAGTCCTACAACATTCAGTCCGGTTCGGCGTCGACACACGTCAATTTATCGTTTCTTTCTTTACTTTTTAATGTTTTTGCTTGTTGGCATGACCGGTCCACTTGAAAAATAGGTGAAAGGTGACGTCAGGCCATGGCCACGACTTTTCACCTACTTTCCAAGTGTCCGTGAGGTCATTCACCCTCCGTTAGTGAACAAAGTATTATTGTACAAGTAATGTCTGAAATTGTCTGATTAGTTGTAGGTCAACAAACTTTGGTTATGCATTACATGTTACTTTTCGGAGTATTTCATATTCTTTGTTACTTATGTTAGTATGTACCATGTGACTCTAGGCGAGTTTATCAATTTGAATTCAAAATAACTGAAATACACTTTTTGAGGGAAAAATACCTTATACAAATGTCAGCTCATATTCATCATCTCCAGTCTTACATTCATCATGTCACCAGCTTGCCGTATCTCTTCCCTACTAGTAACGTTACAGACTTTAGAAATGCTGCCTTTCTCTGCTCAGCACTCAGCATCTATGAGAAAGAGTGTGGGAAGGTCAAACACACAGCACTATACCAGCGGACTAGTGTCAAGTTGCACAACTGTGTGTCGACCAAGGGCTACAGAAATGGAGATGGGCACCACCCTATGCTAGATGCACTGATTATTAGAACGGGAACTTTTTATGCCTATACTACAGGTATGGCAGACCCACAGTCATTCCAGGTGTTTCGGCACCTGACACCTGTTGCCACCTGGCTGCACCTGGCCCTGTACACTTGCCTGGCTGTGCTTGTGGTTCACCTGTCGACAAGACTTTTCCGGTTTGTTCTCGGCCAAGTTCAGACCAGGGGAGTCATGAAGCAGTTTTCAACTCCGCCGAAACACTGGCTGTTTGGACATAATCGGAAGGTATGTGGTTATCACTTAATTTCCAAGCAGGTCTTTTGGTAGTCTCCACCAGACTTCTGCGGGCTGAATATATCGTAGAAATCGGCCTAAAAGGGGTATTGATTGGCAAGAGAATATAGCTGGCCAGAGAAGCTCCATTTGCCCACCGGGGCCGATTTTAGGCTGATTTCTACAATTCATTCAGCCCACAGAAGAAGTCTGGTGGAAACTAGCCTTCAAATACCAGAGTTATCAACCAAGGATTGAGGTGTTCAAAAATTAATTCTTTCCTAGGACTATCGCAGACTGGAACTCGTTGTCACCATGTACAGTAGGGGCATTGTCATTAGATACATGTAGCTTTAAATAATGTCTAGAGTTAGATGTTCAAGGGTTAGGTGTAACAAGTCATTCAGTGTAATGTAGCCAGCTGCTGCCGGGCCGTGTGCCTGCGAAGTTGGTGTTACCATGGACCTTGTCATGTTCAACCGGTTTTTACCAGTAATGCTCATATATGCTTTATCGAGTTCTGTTTGTTCATTAATAGTGATTCTGAAGAAGAGTGGTGTATGTCACTCAAAAGGTCTGGATGTTATCTCCGTAATGTATCCAGTAGTAGAGTTTGAATTTCCTATGAGAACTTCAACTTTGATTCCTTGTTTTTCCCAGGCGTCTCGAAACCAGGAAGGTTTCCAGATCATGTTAGAGTGGATGAAGAAGTACAGTTCTCACTTCATCCCACTCTGGGTCGGTCCCTTCAACGTGTTCCCCCAGTGTGTCCATCCTGAACTCATCAAGACTATACTGGGCACAGCAGGTTAGAGTTTAGGAAACTGAATTGTAACTAGAGAAATAACATTTGCAAAGCAAATGCATAATGTTTACCTTCGGACATGGTCTGCTCTGTTAGTTCTTACTCAAATACATTCACATACATGCACTACTAGTACATGGTGACAGGAGCAGAGCAGACCACGAAATTGCAACATTATGTAACCTAACACCAGTCACCATGGTGACAGACGTCAACAAATCATGTCATTGGTCAGGTCAGAGGTCACTGGAGAAGAAGAGGAAGAAACTGAGCAAAAACAATATACAATAACTGTCATTAAGATTTACACATGAACAGGTGACTTAGTCACTATCACATTTTCTGCTGTCAATCCAGAGATGATCACTTTGGACTATAAAGTTTGAACCGCTTAAAATGTTTACTGAAAACTACTGAAACATCATCCATTAAATTTTATTTTACAGAGCCAAAAGGCAGAATTTACAGATTCCTTCATCCATGGCTTGGTAAGTTCAACAGCTGCATACTTCCTTTGTTAGGCCACACCAATTTAATTTGTTGTTTCTCAGATTTTTTCAGAAAAACTATGAAGCGACAGGGAAAAAAAAACAGGACAAGGCATCCCATGAAGGCCGGAAATGTTACAATATGAGCCATGAGGTCACCATACTAGGCTGTTTATAGTGCAAACAATAGATTTTGAACTTTTGATGAAACGAAGTTGCATTGCTACATTGAAAAACTTTAACAACTAGGAAGAAAAGGACTTTCTTCAACCGTTGGGGCCAAAATGTGTCTTTCATTGAGCATTTTGAAGTTGATTCAGAACCTAAAGTCTTGGAATTGTGATATTTCACAGGAGATGGCTTGTTAACCAGTCATGGCAGTAAGTGGCACCGGAACCGGCGACTGCTGACTCCTGCCTTCCACTTCGAGATCCTGAAGCCCTACGTCACTCTGTTCTCTGAGTCTACTAACGTGCTGATTGTAAGTCTTACGTCACCCTGTTCTCTGAGTCCTGACTAACGTGCTGATTGTAAGTCTTACGTCACTCTGTTCTCTGAGTCTACTAACGTGCTGATTGTAAGTCTTACGTCACCCTGTTCTCTGAGTCCTGACTAACGTGCTGATAACAGTTTGCTGCCCCGTCTTTTTGGCCAATTTCTACATACTTTTTCTAGCCACTTCCTCAGAAGACTGCATGGAAGAGGCCATACAAACATTGGCTGTGTTTTTCATAACTTCTGTTATCCTTGTGGGGTCATGTGGCGTCGCGGTAGCATGTTTGACTGGGGACCAAGAGGTCCCGGGTTTTAATCCTACCATGTCAGAATCAGCAATCTTGTGCCCTTGGAAAAGGCACTTCTCATTACTTTTCTCACTCCACCCAGGTGTAAAATGGGCACCTGACTTCGGTTGGGGAGGTAAAAGTAAAAAATGGTGGAAGGAGAGGGGATGGGTGCCACCTTCCAATACCGTGGCCAAGTGACACCCCCTAAAGTGCCCCAATAGGGGCTATTTAGGGGTGTAGCCGGGGCTCGTACAACATCTTAGAGCCCCGGCAAATATGAAGATGAAGAATGAAGATTAACAATCCCCTGCCCCTTAGGACTTTACAGCCTGAAAAATTAAAGGACTGCAAGACTACCTTTACATTACCTTTTACAGGACAAGTGGAGCTCCGTCCCCGAGGGTTCGCCTGTGGAGCTGTTTGACCATGTGAGTCTGCTGACGTTGGACAGCATGCTGAAGTGCAGTCTGGGTTACCGGAGCAACTGCCAAACTGACGGGTAAGTAAACAAAATACTGCTTCTTTTGATTTTTTTGAGCATAGACTGTAGACCACTATAAGTCTATATTGTTAATTTCTAGGTCTTAGAGTTATTTTTAAAAAAGTAAGTCCAAGCAGCTTATTTTATATCTTGGGGATTGATGAAAATTCCTTGGCCCAAGCAAGTCTCTACTCTTACTTAGCCTGGAGTCTAGTCTTGGTACATGTATCTTTAAGTCTGCTTCCAGTGGCCTAAGGGGAGTGGACTAAAGGTGATAAGACTGGATTCCAAGTCTTACTGAATCAGATGTAGGAACCTGCATCTTTGTGTACAACTTACACATGATTGTATATTGTAATGTGTGATGTGAAAAAAAATTGGTAGCCAACCAGCTATATCCTGACCACATGTATTCTCCCAACAGACAGTCTGCTCCTTACATCCAGGCAGTGTTTGAGCTGTCCCGCCTTGTCGTCGAGCGAGTTCGTTTCTTTCCCTTCCACTTTGACTTCATCTATTACCTCAGCCCCAGTGGCCGCAGGTAAGCATCAGCAGGAAAAAAAAAAAATTAACGGCTCTCAGTGGCCAATGTGCATGTGCAGATGTTGTCACATCGGCGCACCAAATCCGTAATGTGTTTTTGGCACACAGTTAGACAGATTAGCCTAAGAGGCTCGGTGGGCGTCACTCCACCGTACATGGTGGGGAAGTCGTGTAAAGTGCCTTTCCCAAGGGCACAAGGTCGGGCCACGGTGAGTATCGAACCCGGGACCTCTTGGTTCCGAGTCCAACGCTCTAACCGCTGTGCCACCGATGCCACTTATAAAAGGTAAAGATGAGGTTAAGAGAAAATAAAAGGTAAAGATGAATATTGCCTCTTTGAGGCCTGAGGGGCAGTAGTGTGTTGTCGTTACATAATGTTTATGCAAACACAGTGGATAACTGCAAATGCATAATGTTTACCTTCGCATATCATCATTCTGCTCTTTTAATGATTCAGAAATACATTTTTTTCATATATATGATGTAACCCAACACCAGTTACCATGGTGACAGAGGTCTGGTTCTGGTCATTGGCCTTTTGTGTTTGGAACAGAAGAAGCAAAAACAACGTTTTCCTTTGGTAAACAAATTATATTTATTATATATACATGTATTATTAAGTAAAAATGTTTGCTGACAATGTGCATTTGATCAAGATCCTTTCAGTTACTGCAACAAGAGGTTCTTCAAAGAGGACAGGGGCAAAGAAACAGAAGATTTCAAACCACCTTGAAAGATTTAGAGTGGTAAATTTCTTGTTTTGTTTTATCGACATTTTCCTGCACATTTTTTGGCTGACATGCATTTTCTACCCCAGGTTCCGTCAGCAGTGTGACATTGTGCACGGTGTCTCTGAACATCTCATACAGCAGAGGAAAAAGGCACTTCAGGACGGGGAGGGCAAATCTGGAGAAGACGAGACAGGAAAAAACAGGAAATACCTGGACTTTCTCGACATTCTTCTGCAAGCCAAGGTTATATTTTGATGCCAATAATCAATTTATTATTGAGATTTGCCACATTTTGTGGAAGGATTGACATTTTTTTAACAGGTGGCAATTTGACTATTACCTTTTCTAGATGTCAACCTATGTCAGACCTAGACTAATGATTCATTTTGTAATTTATTTTTTAATGTTCAACCTGGATGTCTAACTTTTTAAAACAAATTGTCAATATACAGTACTTCTATCTCTATGTAGTGTAGTGGCGTCAGTGGCACAATGGTTAGAGCGTTGGACTCGGAACGCAGAGGTCCCGGGTTCGATACTCACCGTGGCCCGATGTTGTGCCCTTGGGAAAGGCACTTTACACGACTTCCCCACATATACGGTGGAGTGACGCCCACCGAGCCTCTTAGGCTAATCTGTCTGTCAGGGTGCCAAAAACACCTTACGGAATTGGTGTGCCAATGTGACATCTCATATTGGCCAATGAGAGCCGTAAATTTTTTTTTTTTATCTGTATGTCCCAACCACAAACATCTTGCTTGATTCCCAAAATTACCATTTCCAAATTCACAGGACTGGTTAATATTTATTGTACAACAGTTGTACAAGGTACGATGCATGGTATTACTACTGACAGTATCTTAACTACAGTTCCATAAGGCTAATCTATTAAGACAAGAGTTTGTAGTATGGGATGAGAATATGATTTTACAATCATTGATGGAAGACAAGACTCCTTTAATACACCAAAAAAAAAGCAGTAAAAGCAACTGGACATGATTTTAGAAACGGTCAGACGTTTCGGGTAGTATCCACTACCTTTCATCAGTGACTTTAAGAGACCAGAGGAGAAATGCAGGTTTATAAGCACAAACTGTTGATTGATATGCAATCCTTTAATATATTTTACTATGTGTAACATGCAATTGTTACTATTTTAAATCTTTTGCCCAGGACGAGGATGGTACAGGCCTGACGGACGCGGAGATCCGAGACGAGGTGGACACGTTCCTGTTCGAGGGTCACGACACGACGGCCAGCGGGATCTCCTGGACCCTGTACCACCTGGCCAAACACCTGCAGTACCAGGACAGGTGCAGGAGGGAGGTGGGGGCGCTGCTGCACGGACGCACAACCATGACCTGGTGAGTATCGTATCCAGAATGAGTTAGGATGAGGATCAGACATGGTTCTGGATAGTCTCCACATAGGATATCTGGATAGTCTGCATATCCAAAACCATGCCTGTCTAGTATATGCCTGAATGGGTTAGGGTTAGGATCAGGCATGGTTCTGGATAATATGCATTTTTGGCACAGTTCTGGATAGTGGCCATGCATATCCAGAGTCATGCATGTGGCAAATCTAGTCTTTCTTGGATACGTGGAGCCTATACTATGACCCAATCAGGCATGATAGAAATACATAGTACTTATTAGGCACTTGAATATGTATACTGTACATATCTGTAAATTATTCTTTTGTTGTGACCTGAGTTTTTGTTCCTTGTGTCCAGGGAAGACATGAGTCAGCTGCCCTTCACCACCATGTGTATTAAGGAGAGTTTAAGGATCAGACCACCGGTCCCGACCGTTTCTCGCTGTCTTACCAAGCCACTGACTTTTCCTGATGGGAAAACCATGCCTGAAGGTATCGATCTAGCATTACTTCAGTCCTGTCAGTGTTCCAGCCAGCCTAATTATGGGTTCACCACACCACGAAGTGGTGGTGAACCCATATTGCTTTTTCTGATGTTTCTTCTTCTTCTTCTCCTTCTCCTCCTGCCATTTTTTAAATGGATTCAGCTTCTTCATTTTAGGGCCCAAGGTCCTGAAATTTGGTATGGAGGTACAGTGGGCAAATACCCCTAGGCGTTTTTTTAAATTTTTGTGATACAGGCTTTTAGAATGGTTTTATTTGAGTTTTTTGGCTGTGTTATAGCAAATGTATTACTGTGTTAGTGTACCACATTTGGGCATGAGTCATCACAATGGAATGCAGGGCATCAACCAATAGGCATGCAGCTTTCCTCTATTCTTCTTGCTGATTGGCTGTTGGGATTTAACTTGATTAACACCTGCACAGAGCATTTCCACCTGCACAGAGCATTTCTTGCTGATTGGCTGTTGGGATTTAACTTGATTAACACCTGCACAGAGCATTTCCATACTAACAGTATGTCTGTATTCAAGTGTTTTGGTAGGTATTTCAAGCTTTCCTGCTCCAGCATTGGAATGCAGGGCATGAACGTTTTTTTATTTATGAAAATCAACAGTTTGCATTATGCAATTAAAAATCCTAACCAATAAAGTAGGGAATAGCTATCCAACTGTTGTTTTAGTTGTATGTTACTTCATATTATAGTTATATCAATGTAAATCATTGTTTTCCCTTGTGTTTCTCATTCTTTCCCTGCCATGTCGTAAAATGTGGTGAACCCATCGCTGTATTTGCTCCAAAGCAAATATTGGCCTTTCTAGTTTGTTTCTCAATTTTGTTTGACATAATATCAAGTTGAGTGCCAGAGGTGCAACAATCCTACATGTATATGGGGGCCTGGGGTTTGAAATTTGGCCCTTTAAAATGCTATATTTCCTACTGGTAGGCAAAGATTAGTTTTATGGTATCCCTATATGTATCTCTTAACATACTTATTTTTTAAATCTTACTTTTTTGTTGCCTTTTATATACAATGTCGTTAAGTTATTTCTATATTAATTTGCAGGATCCCACCTAACTGCAGGAATTATCTACTCACATCACAACCATCTCATCTGGCCAGACCCTCAGGTCAGTAGGAATAAATCAACAAATAAACAAACAAACAAACAGATAAACAATGTGTTTCAGGCTTTCTTGTTTTGTAATGGTTTTGGGTGGCAGATGATAACTGCCTGGCAAAGTGGCGTCGGGTGGCGTAGGGGTAGATCATTCGACTTTGAACCGAGAGACCCGGGTTCGATCCCGAGTCGTACCCGGGACATGTCTGGACATGCGCCCGACGTTGTGTCCTTGGGAAAGGCACTTTACACGACTTTCCTCACTCCACCCAGGTGTGAATGGGTACCTAACTTCGGTTGGGGAAAGTCGTATTGAGGTCACCTTGTGGCGCCGAATGGCAGCCGCACAGATCCTTGCGACAGTTCCACAAAACATTTGTGGAGCAAATATGTGTTATCATGTGTATTATTTGATTGTTGTGATTTGTATTGATAATTATGTGATACCCTGCATCAATTCAGCCGTATAAAGGCTGCGACTGCACGGGTACAGTTTGGACAATAAAAACCATTATAAAAAATTTTATATTGTCTTAAGTTTGCAGCCACCAAAAGAGACTGCTTAAAGGTAACCGTATGCCAGGGCAGTACTGAGTGGCTCTATATGTACAGCTACATGTAAGTGTAACTCCAGTTTGTACATTTCCAGGTGTATGATCCCCTGCGCTTTTCTCCGGAGAGATCCAAGGACAGACACCATCATGCCTTCGTACCTTTCTCAGCTGGACCAAGGTACTCTATAGCTGATAGCAGACTGAGTGATACTTGTAGTCAGACTTGTTGCTTTGAAACTTCAATGCTCCAACGGTTACCACTCAACCTACATAATTATGTTCCAACAACACTAACTCTAAGCTGGGACATACATTTGTAGGCCTCCAATCAAACATAAACTTAAAGATAAATTTCATTGAAGGTAGAAAAGCTAGTTTGATTTTTGCCTGTTTCTGATCTAGAAACTCCTAGTGGCTGAATGACAATAACATCAGGGTTAAGGACAATCAAAAGCTTTGGAAGTAATCATAGTACAATGCTGAACTTAATTCCAACACAAGGATTACACAGAGATCAAATTTTCAACGACCTCTGTCATAGATGAATGTGTTTGAGTAAGAATTAACAGTCTGAGAGCAGACCATATGCAAAGGGAAAAACATAATGCATTTGCTTAGCAAATGTTACCTTTCTAGCATACAATAAATTTTTCTCCTGTTCCTGCTGTAGGAACTGCATTGGGCAGAATTTTGCGATGAACGAGATGAAGGTAGCGGTGGCGCTGATCTTACAGCGGTTCCGACTGGAGCTGGACCAGACGAAACCCGAGCCGTTCTTTGTGCAACAGCTGATCCTGAGGGCCAAGGACGGGATCTGGATCAAACTTACACCAATTAGCTAAAGGGATCTGGATCAAACTCACACTGAATATCTGGATCATACATGTCTAAAGGGATCGAGATCTAGCTAATGCCAGAAATTTGCTTCTTAAAACTATCTCTAGATTATGCATAGATTCCATAAGGGTGTGACATTTGCATTAGACTACAAGTTTATAATGAGGCTAAAAATGCAGAGACAAGTCATGATGGTTGTCTTTTAATAGCCGTCTTTTATTATTGAGCTTGGCACACTGCTACAATCAATATTTGACCATGTCTGAACCATTCTTTATTCATTAGAAGCTCAAATTGGCCTTATACATTGTATATTCACATATAACATTTTCATTGTAGTGTGGAAGCAATGACAATTAGCTTCAATTTGTTTGTATCAGAAGATTTTCCATGATGATATGTATGCACAAATGCACTTGTAGCAAACCACATACATGACTTTATAATTGTAATAAATTTTGCAGTGACTGTATGGTTTAGTTATAGGGATTTCACTATAAGTTTTCCTTTGCTCACAAAGACAAGCCAAGCAACATGTTCTTGAAGAGAATTCTAAAATCAAAAGTTGTGGTCACCGTGGTACACGCTTGAATGTGCAGGAACATCTGAAATAAGGGTCTTTCAATTGCATTCTGCATTCTACAACCAAAATGTTATAAAGCAACACCTACATAATGACTTTATGAGCCACAATATATGTATATTCCATGCGACACCACTACCATTACAAGTACATGTTGCAGTACATGCTAAAAAGTCCACTAAAAATTCAAATAAGTGCTGCAGTCTTGATACAAGACATTTGTTTTCATCCATTGACAAACATTTCGAATCCTAATAATATATTCCTGACAAAACTTTCTGACTTAACAATTGTTTAAGGAATGATACTTGTACATTGAGGTACATCGTAGGGTCTATGGCACAACGCATCTAAAAAAGGAATCAAACTACAAACACTTAATACACTTATGATATTGACAACATTCCATAGAGTTCCTTAGAAAAAAGAAACTATGATCAAGACAATCTACAAATTTACTCAAGCAACTGGATATGATTTTGAAAACGGTCAATGTCTGAATGAAAATCATATCCAGTTGCTTGAGTAACTACTTTTGGGCGTATCGTATTACCTGGATGTCTAACCTTCACCGACGTATCATACTGAACCTTCTGTCTAACCCAATAACCAATACAAACTTAATGCTACACATGGCAACCTTAGCATGCTAAAGGTTATAGCTGTAAGAAAAGATTTTTTAAATCACAAAACTTGCAAAGCAAGTCTACCACCATAACACAAGTCATCATATATACTTAGATATATGCTGTAAAATTTTGTAAGAATGTTTCTGATTGGTTAGTTGATGATGTGTTAGGTGCTCCCATTGGTTGCTTGTGCATCCTTCCCTTCGCAGCCATTGGCTGCATCCACTTTCCAGATGCAGTAGAACACCCAACTGAGAACAAGTGGAGTCAAGGAAAATAAAACACTGAAAACATCTTAGCTTATTCTTACACTTAGTCTAGCACTATGCAGAAATGAATTAAAAAAAGATGTCAGACTTCATCAACCCCTGACCAATAATACTACTTCCAGTCCCACAGAAGAAGTCCCACAGACAAAGCTAGCAGCACCAAGGATGTACACATGTACACGTCATGTACAATGTATGGTAACAGTGTGTGGTGCATACAGTACATGTACACATAGTTGGAATTGCAGTAACACGCATGCATACTTCACACTTATGCACACACATACACATAGACACACAAAAATGTACATCTACACACAAACACATAAGCATTACACATACTGTACAATGTATATTGTATATGCATGCAAACATACAATGTATGAGCATACAAACAGACAAGCACCACACACAATTACATGTATACACAAATATGCACAAGGACATGCACACACACAGACAATATTAACATACAGTAACTTTACTCCCTTGTGCTAAGGGTAAAAAGATTTTCCTGCAGAGAAAGGATACAGCTCGTGGTAGGACGGCACACAGACTGTCTCTTTGGAGAAGTCCACTTTACAGGACAGTTTCTCCAGCTGGCCCTCATACATACGCAGGGCGTCCACCATGTTGGCCCCGTTACCCTGGAAACCATGGAACATATTATCACCATGGAAACCACAGAACACATCAATACACCATGTTAGCCTCGTTACTATGGAAACAATGGAACACATGTTACCATGGAAACCACAGAACACATCAACACACCATGCATGTTAGCCTTGTTACCCTGGAAACAATGGAACACAACACCATGGAAACCATGCATTAAGACCTTGGGAACCATGGAACACATCAATATGGTGTACATGTATCTTCATGAACTTTGAATTTTATGCAACCATCTAATAGTACATGACTTGTAATACATTTTTTAACACTGGCTGTGCCACACCACTGAATTCAGGAATAGTTAATCTGATATATATGATATGAAGTCTGTCTGGTTTATTTATATTTCCCTCCCATACAAGGAAATGCAGACACAGTCATGATTACAAACACCGTGTACATGTATATGTGTACATTTTATGTGTGTGTTTGCATGCATGGTTTGCGTGTATCTGTACCTGGACCTGTGTTAGAATATTTACACTTAAACTGTTGATCTGCCAGATATTGTCTCACCTGTGTATAATACCTGCCTGTGGGCTTCAACACCTGCATGGAGAAGTCCAGAATCTTCCTCAGGAAGTCCCAAGAGTCACCTGGGCAGAACAAAAAAATTATCCTCATGAAATTTAAAATTAGAAAAAATTACAGATAGTCTCTGTAAGCAGGGTTTTGGATGTAAAGCACGATTCTGAATACACAAGTCATGAACTATCAATGCCTGAGCATGATTATAGATAAAGCACGGTTCTGGATATGCCTTGACTACACCTTAAAAGTCATGTTCTGGATGCAGCACTTACCGACAGGCTGTGTAGAAATGGGAATAGCTGTGAGATCGTTGATGACGTAATCAAACATGGTTCCTTCCCGTACGTACTTCTCCAAAACTGGGATGCAGTCTTCAACTAAAACCTGGGGAGAAAAAGCACAGCAGCAGAACATTATTAGTGCATAGAACTTCTCAAAACTGGAGCACAGTCCTCAACTACAATCGACAGAGTAAAAGTACAGTATGAACAAAGAATCAGAGGTTAAAGTCAATCTGTACGGTGGCAAGACAGCATCCAATTAGCCACCATAGGAAACTGCTTTACAAATGGGATACTGCCTTAGGATCTGCTTGGATGATTGTCAGTTCATTATCAAATTGGCAAAATGAAGAAAAGATACAGGCCCAAAAATGAACTTCCAGCCCTGCAATCAGACCTCAAACCTGTACCCCTGCCTACAAGGTTACATGTACATGTAAGTCTGGTGCAAAGGGCCTGCATGAATGTCATACTACACTATGACTCATAGTGTGTGTAATAAAATGTAAGGCTATTGTTTGTTGTCTGACCTCATCATAGTTGTGCCCAGGAGCTGGTCCATATGCATGGGATCTATTGGAACAACCTCCCGTGCAATCAGAAGTGAATAGACAATCAGAACCCTAACCTGTACTCCTGAAGATCTAAGTCTGGTGCAAAAGGCCTACATGTGTATGCAACGAAGACTATAATTGTTTGTATTCTGACCTCATAGTTGTGCCCCTTGAGCTGGTCCATGGAGTCGTGGCAGATTCCCCGCAGGTATTTAACAGCTGCATTAATCACCAGCTGGTCAATGTGGGTAGCGTTAAGGGTTCTTGTTCACAGAAATGTACTGAATTGAATGACTGTCTTACAAATACATGCCTGCATGAGAATGTACTATAGACAAGCAGTAGGCAGTATTAGAAGTGTTTTGAAGTTACTGGCTTTCGTGATTTCTCAATAGCGTCAATCATGTGTCTTGGTGGTGTTAATTTTTTTGTAGAAAACTCTGTCAGAGCTGGTTTAGAAATCACAACATGTTTGTGAAGGGGGCTAGTTTCTTAAAAGAAGATTACTCACTCACTCTATCTCAAGAAGATACATTGTAACTAAAAAAAATCTTATGTCAGTTGAGTGTGAGACTGGACCTATTGCATCTCAAGACAAGGGATACTTAGTAACACATGCAGCTACAGTAAAATACTAAAACTAAAGATACCAAACACAAAAGGATATCTCCAGCATGATGACAGATTTGGGAGATCCCTGTCGCAGCTCATGGAGGATTCCTCCATCCCCGCCCCCCAGAATCAGCACGGATTTCCCGCTAAAGTCCTCACGACCGTTACCCAGGATTGCTCGTGTGTAGGCCAGGTCACTCTCCGCCAGATCTGTAGAAAAATCAAGGTGATGCAATCCCTTTTTCAACAGTAAAAATGTTTAAGATTGTATTTGCCCTACGCTTCCTGACTATTAATGTAGATGGCTGAATTTAGGAATTACAGACAGGATCCATACTCCCAGTCCTATGACTTTAACTTTTTCTTATATACAGGTACGTACTTATTTCTTCATTCATTCATTCATTCATTCATTCATTCATTCATTCATTCATTCATTCATTCATTCATTCATTCATTCATTCATTCATTCATTCATTCATTCATTCATTCATTCATTCATTCATTCATTCATTCATTCATTCATTCATTCATTCATTCCATAAACAAAACTTACTAGGATTGTTGTCCAGTAGCAGCATATTTCCAAACTGAGGAGAGTGCATTATCTTGATGTTCTGATAGGGGGAGCTTCATACACAAAAGTTGTACTCTATCAGTTTCATTTATGATTTTCTTATTCCTCTATTCAGACTCCCCCAGTTCCCTGCCCTTCATGTACTTACTAGGATCGTTGTCCAATAGCAGCATGTTTCCAAACTGAGGAGAGTGCATTATCTTGATGTTCTGGTAGGGGGAGTCGGCTTCATACACACACTCGTCAAAGTCATACTCGATCAGCTTGTTGTCGGCTGTCGGTACATACGGGTCCACACGGGCGCCGCGCTTGATGAACGGGAATCTGGGAGAGGAAAGATGGTAATTAGAGGTAGATTTGTGGTTAGTGTAGCCTCCTTCCCAGACTAGTGCGGCGGTGGCATTAACTTTTTTTGGAAGCAAAACAAGCTAGTAGCCTGGGTGCCATCCTGGTTAGTTTACATCTGCTCCCACATTCGCCACTGACCGTGAGCGACCGCTACTCTCAAGTTATGCCATGGCTTGAGTCTTACAACCTTTAAAAGAGGCTATTATATGCTTTAAGGGTTGTTGACTTTAATCTGAAGGTTTTGGGTTTGAATTCCTGCTTACTCTCAGCCCCATATGTTGTACCTGAGAGGCACTTTACAATGTTTTCCTTACTCAACTAGAGCTCGTCTCTTTATGAAGGGAAATTTGGGAGGGAATGATGACAGGTGGACTTTTGGTTACCTTCAGCCTTAGAATCTGAAGGCAGGCCCCTTAGGAAAGTCACTTACGGTTTACACCTCTTTCATTACATGACAAGGCTAATACACGTACATGTAAGTCTCCTCTCTTATTGAATGGGGCTGACAACAATGCAAATGATCAAGTTGGATATGAAAGAAGTGTGTGCAGTTTGCATTTAGTTTCCCTGCCTCTGTACCAAGAAGTCATGAGTTTGATTCTCAGCTGACAGTAGAGGTACATTGTACATGTAAATTGTGTACTTACCTTTTAGACTTATTGCAGCCAAGAAGCTCACTGATTTTCTTCTGAGTTGATGCAACATGCTGAAGAAAAAAAAAGGTTTGGTAAGGGCTAAAGTTAACACGGTGACCTTTGTTACAGAAGGGGAAATAATATTACAAATTCTAGTTGACAAGATAGCGCTATACCTCTGCAGTGATGGCAGGCTGTTCTCCCTCGGCTACCCACATCTCAGCATCCACAGTTAGCAAGCCCTGAGGATATACTCGCAGGGTCGCATGGCTGGAAAGAAAACCAAATGAACAGATAGGCATTTATACAACCTGGATACGCGAAGACTATCCAGAACTGTGCCTGATCCTAGCCGTATTATCCCATTTACGCATAGAACTACTAGTATATAGGCACAGTCTTGGTACAATAAGGTTCTGTGTGTGTACTTGAGCCTGGTGCAGTCTTACGTTACCTTGTACCTGATATCTCGTAACCTGTATCACAGTAGTATGTGACCTATGGGAGAGACTTTGACTTTATTTGGATCCACATTTAGCTTTAATAGCATTTAGCTTACCTATTCTTCCAGTGGCCCATTACGTAATGCAATACAACAATACAAAATAGCAACTGCCACACAATAACATTGACACATGGTAACAACACAGAGATGCATTGCATTTGTAAACAAACAAACAAACAAACAAACAAACAAACCTTCCGTTCTCAGCTGTGAAGACGTCCAGAGACCCAGCGTCTCCCAGGGAAACGGAGGACAGCGGAGCAGCGCTGCTGTTCTGTACCAGCTGGGACACAAGGTCACACAGGTCACGGTACAGCTGCTGGTCAATCACTGGAAATACAGAAATACAAACATCGTTGAAGAGGTTCATCAGTCACATCGATTGATAGAATTAACAGTTACTAGACATTTTTCGAGCAGTGACAGTATTTTTGTAAGGTAGATTACGTACCTCCAAATTTTCGGTGTCGACTGTACACCTTGATCACGGAGTGACCTACTTAGTCTCACGAGAACACGAGACTAGGTCGAGACTTGTGTGGACCAATGAAGGTTGGGAGCTGACCAAGTCCTACCTACCCCTACTCCGCAAGGAGGCGGGGGAGGTCAGAAGATCCACACAAGTCTCGTGTTCTCGTGAGACTAGGTCACTCCGTGAACAAGATGTACAGTGGACATAAAAAATTTGGAGGTACGTAATCTACCTACGAAAATATAGTCACGGATCGAAGAATTTCCTCAGTAGAAATGTAAACATTTTTTCAGAACAATCGTAGCCTCTACCAGGCTTCGGGAGGCGGCTGGCAAGAGTAGAAATTGGCTACAGTTTGCCCGAAATGTGCTCTCTAGTGGACCAACTCCCTCGGCATGTTATCTCTCTACTTGGCCAATTTCGGGTGTGGCAAACTTTAGACAATTTCTACTCTTCCCAGCCGCCTCCCGAAGCCTGGTAGAGGCTACAACAATTGTACAAGGTTTGGTACAGGTTAGGAATGGCATCTATTTCAGGCTTTTGCAGCTATGTAACAAACACATGTAACGTTACATACTCAATCATGATTGGAAATACAGAAATCTTTACTGACACAAAAATTAAAAGCAAGTGTTGCAACCCTTTAAAGTCCTTTGATATAAATCATTATGATACAGTACCTAGAAACAAACAAGTGTTATGTCAGGATACAAATGAGCTTTCAGTGTCAATCACACAACATAATTTCATTCGAAGATTTCAGGTTTGACTGACTAACAGTGAATCTACAGAACTGTCCATGCATAATACGTACTAGTAGGACAATCTTTCTGTATGCTTTTTATACTTTTTGGTTACTTTTTGGTAAGTTGTACTGCGTCAACAGTCTTTCGATCAGTGACCTGATCTGATCATAGTATAAAGTCCAGCCAAATGTGACATGTTTAAACATCAAATCAATACTAACGATAGCAAGAAAACATGTTACATTTTATTTTCATACTTTAAGTTTTATTCGTAAATTTTATTTGTGATTTTGTGTACTTTCTGCAGAACTGCCTAAAGTATGCCTTTGCCAAAATTTCTTTATACGTTACTGTGTCAATAGAACGTTACTCTTTTGATCAATGACCCGACCTAATAGTATAAAGTCCAACCAAAATGTGACATGTTTGCAAATAAAGCCCGGGATGTTATGTATATAAAATAGCAGGATACTCGTGAAAGATTTCAGCTAAGAGAGCTAGTTACTTACGTGGATTTTTGGTGCCGCCAGGTTCGAACTGGAAGTCTAGAAGTGTATGTAAAGCCGGCATGACTGTTTCTTGGACAAAACAGAGCAAAACAGTGGAGAAAACACACGTGCGACTGAATAGGGGCGTCCCGTGCTCAGATTTAGATTACAGGGTAAAGGTTAGCGGAATAGTGCATTACAAAAATAAAGCGTAGCACCCGCCAAATTTTCACTGCACCCGTAACATTTAAATATATCACAAAATTAAAAGTTAAGTATTGAATACGATAGTAGCTGATTATTAGAATTATTGTGTAGTGCATTTTTTAAGAATAAAGATTATGCTCGCATCCGATTTGAATGCACCCCTATTTCTTAATGGTAACGTTACAGTCAGGGTTGAAGGGTGAAAGGGCACGTTGTTCGAACGCAAAATATTGACGGATTTTCGCTGATTTTGGTGGTGCAAAGGGGGCTTTTTGTGGCCAAAATGGTCTCTGTGAATCATTTGCAACCCTGTCCATCATAAGGAGAGAGATGTAGAAGTTCGAGAGCCAAAATCGAGGTAAGCTGGACGAAAACATGCAGTGGGAGGGGGAGGGGGGGCGTTCCTCCAGGCATGGTCTAAAATATTTTTATTTTTAGTCGCCGAGGGCCAGGCGACGAAATGAGTGCGAACTAAGCTCATTCTTGCTATAGTTTTGAATGTGTTGTACAGACAATTCAGTTGTCTTGTTTCAGAAAATGCTCTATTTCATCCTCTCCGGCGGTTGCTTCAATTATATTGTTATCGTTGGATATTTTTATCGAGGCTTGGAAAGAACCAGCCGTCAATTACAATTAAAGTTTGAGCACCGGATCCAAGACTGTCTCAAGAATGTCGTAAATACGTCACAGGACTCGACGCACATTTTGTACGCATTTTAGACGACAAAAAAAAATGTCATGCTGAAATAACTATGCTGTGTAACCTGAGGTAGAAATGCAGAGGTATTGCATTTTATTACGGTGTAAAAGGAGGATAACAAACGAAAATACCCTATAGTGTAATTCGTGACGTAAAGTAAATATCTTTTAATTGCCGACATTATGATCGTTTGATCACCCTTGTAAATACCCTACAAGATATATTTTAATTAGCATATTTTAATTAGTATATGTGAAGTGACTTTTATGTTGTATTGGTGTGACACTGCTCTCCTATGGGAGGAAATAAAGA